ACACGCACTGTACAAATGGGATTGTACTGCCAGACTAAAAGGATTTCATATGTGTATACATAGACATCTGTACATATACATATATTGCACAATGTGTATGTGTGCATAATATATATATATATAAGAAACTACTAGTACATAGAATATAGAATTGAAAAATTTTTACGTTTTAGGGCATCTTCAGGAATTGAAAAAAAAACGTGTACATAGAATATCCGAGAGGTGTACATAGAATATTTTTTCAATTCTGGAAGATGCTTTTTTTTGATTTGTTTGAATTATCAAAATTTCATCCATACTGCAGCATAAATGGACATAAATGGAGATTTTTCAAATTTTCATCCCACTAAAATCTTTTGAATTATCAAAATATCACCCATACTGCAGCATAAATGGACATAAATGGACATTTGTCAAATTTTCATCCCACTAAAATCTTTTGAATTATCAACATATCACCCATACTGCAGCATAAATGGACATAAATGGACATTTGTCGAAATTTCATCCCACTAAAATATTTTGAATTATCAAAATATCACCCATACTGCAGCATAAATGGACATAAATGGACATGTTTCAAACTTTCAGCCCACTAAAATATTTTGAATTATAAAAATATCATCCGTACTGGAAGGAATTGGGTCTCTTTCCTGTATAAGGGTATATATTTTATATACATAATTCCCTTTGGGGAGCAGCAACCCTGGATGTCTGAAATTCCTCAACTAGAACGTTTCAACAAAAAACAGGTCCCCGAAATGACCAATTTCTTTTTATAATGTATTTATTTTTATTTTTTTTTTCAAGCTCACTGAAGGGTATCCCCCACAACTGGTGTCGTAGAACTATGACAAAAACTATTTTGCAATGAACACCAACGGAATTGGGTGGTGTTCCTGGAAAAATGGATGAATATTTTCACTGGGGACCTATATTATATGTATGCAATTCTGCAAGGAATTGGGTCCTTGTCATGTATAAGGATAATTATATATTATATACATAATTCCCTTTGGGGAGCAGCAACCCTGGATGTCTGAAGTTCCTAAAACGTTTCAACAAAAAAAACAAGTCCCCCGAAATGATCAATTTCTTTTTATATTGTATTAAAAAAATGAGTTTTTGAAGCTCACCTAAGGGTCCCCCCCATGAACGGTGTCTTAGAACTATGAGAAAATAATATGTTGCAATGAACACCAACGGAATTGGGTGGTGTTCCTGGAAAAATTGATGAATATGTTCACTGGGGACCTATATTCTATGTATGTAATTCTGCAAGGAACTGGGTCCCTTTCATGTATAAGGGTATATATTATATACGTAATTCTCTTTGGGGAGCAGCATCCCTGGATGTCTGAAGTTCCTAAAACGTTTCAACAAAAAAAAACAGGTCCCCCGGAATGATCAATTTCTTTTTATATTGTATTAAAAAAATGAGTTTTTGAAGCTCACCTAAGGGTCCCCCCCCCACGACCGGTGTCGTAGAACTAGTGTAAAAAAACTACTCTACCTTGAAAACCAATGGAATTAGGTGGTGGTCCTCAAAAAATGGATGAACATTCCCCTGGTTTTCATGGTCTTTCACGGTTGGTGTCAAAAAATATAGCTTCTGATGTCCCCCGAAATGATCAATGTCTTTTTATATTGTATTCAAAAAAATGAGTTTTTCAAGCTCATCTAAGGTTACCCCCACGACCGGTGCCGTAGAACAATGAAAAAAAAACAAAAAAACCTACTTTGCAATGAAAACCAATGGAATTGGGTGGTGTTCCTATTTTAAAAAAGTGAATCTTCCCCTTGAGACTTATATTCTATGTATGTAGTTCTGCAAGGAATTGGGTCTCTTCCATGTATAAGGGTATAGATCAATTCCCTTTGGGGAGTAGCGACCCTGGATGTCTGAAGTTCCTGAACTGGAACATTAAAAAACACCAGGTCACCCGAAATGATATTTTTTTTTTTTATGCGTTTTTCAGGCTCACCTAAGGTTACCCCCACGACCGGTGTCGTAGAACAATGAAAAAAAAACTACTTTGCAATGAAAACTAATGGAATTGGGTCGTGTTCCTATTAAAAAAAGTGAATCCTCCCCTTGAGACTTATATTCTATGTATGTAGTTCTGCAAGGAATTGGGTCTCTTCCATGTATAAGGGTATAGATCAATTCCTTTTGGGGAGTAGCGACCCTGGATGTCTGAAGTTCCTGAACTGGAACATTAAAAAAGCACCAGGTCACCCGAAATGATAAATTTATTTTTGTTTTGTTTAAAAAAAATGAGTTTTTCAAGCTCACCTAAGGTTACCCCCACGACCGGTGTCGTAGAACAATGAAAAACACCTACTTTGCCATGAAAACCAATGGAATTAGGTGGTGTTCCTCCAAAAAAAAGTGAATCTTCCCCTTGAGACTTATATTCTATGTATGTAGTTCTGCAAGGAATTGGGTCTCTTCCATGTATAAGGGTATAGATCAATTCCCTTTGGGGAGTAGCAACCCTGGATGTCTGAAGTTCCTAAACTGGAGAACATTTCAGGAAAAAAAGGTCCCCTGAAATGATCAATTTCTTTTTATATTGTATTAAAAAAATGAGTTTTTTAAGCTCACCTAAGGGAACCCCCACGACTGGTGTCGTAGAACTATGATAAAAAAAAACTACTTTGCAATGAAAACTAATGGAATTGGGTCGTGTTCCTATTAAAAAAAGTGAATCCTCCCCTTGAGACTTATATTCTATGTATGTAGTTCTGCAAGGAATTGGGTCTCTTCCATGTATAAGGGTATAGATCAATTCCTTTTGGGGAGTAGCGACCCTGGATGTCTGAAGTTCCTGAACTGGAACATTAAAAAGGCACCAGGTCACCCGAAATGATAAATTTATTTTTGTTTTGTTAAAAAAAATGAGTTTTTCAAGCTCACCTAAGGTTACCCCCACGACCGGTGCCGTAGAACAATGAAAAAAACTACTTTGCAATGAAAACCAATGGAATTGGGTGGTGTTCCTATAAACAAAAGGTGAATCTTCCCCTTGAGACTTATATTCTATGTATGTAGTTCTGCAAGGAATTGGGTCTCTTCCATGTATAAGGGTATAGATCAATTCCCTTTGGGGAGTAGCGACCCTGGATGTCTGAAGTTCCTAAACTGGAGAACATTTCAGGAAAAAAAGGTCCCATGAAATGATCAATTTCTTTTTATATTGTTTTTAAAAAATGAGCTTTTCAACCTCACCTAAGGTTACCCCCACGACTGGTGTCGTAGAACTATGATAAAAAAAACATATTTTGCAATGAAAACCAATGGAATTGGGTGGTGTTCCTATTTAAAAAAAGTGAATCTTCCCCTTGAGACTTATATTCTATGTATGTAGTTCTGCAAGGAATTGGGTCTCTTCCATGTATAAGGGTATAGATCAATTCCTTTTGAGGAGTAGCGACCCTGGATGTCTGAAGTTCCTGAACTGGAACATTAAAAAAGCACCAGGTCACCCGAAATGATAAATTTCTTTTTGTTTTGTTAAAAAAAATGAGTTTTTCAAGCTCACCTAAGGTTACCCCCACGACCGGTGCCGTAGAACAATGAAAAAAACCTACTTTGCAATGAAAACCAATGGAATTGGGTGGTGTTCCTCAAAAAAAAAGTGAATCTTCCCCTTGAGACTTATATTCTATGTATGTAGTTCTGCAAGGAATTGGGTCTCTTCCATGTATAAGGGTATAGATCAATTCCCTTTGGGGAGTAGCGACCCTGGATGTCTGAAGTTCCTAAACTGGAGAACATTTCAGGAAAAAAAGGTCCCCTGAAATGATCAATTTCTTTTTATATGGTATTAAAAAAATGAGTTTTTTAAGCTCACCTAAGGGAACCCCCACGACTGGTGTCGTAGAACTATGATAAAAACAAAACATATTTTGCAATGAAAACCAATGGAATTAGGTTGTATTCCACAAAAAATGGATGAACCTTCCCTTGGTTTTCATGGTCTTTCATGGTTGGTGTCAAAAAATATAGTTTCTGATGTCCCCCGAGATGATTAATTTCTTTTCATATTGTATTTAAAAAATGTTTTTTTAAAGCTCACCGAAGGGTACCCCCACGACCGGTGCCGTAGAACAATGAGAAAAACCTACTTTGCAACGAAAACCAATGGAATTAGGTGGTGTTCCTCAAAAAAAGGATGAATTGTATTCAAGAAAATGAGTTTTTCAAGCTCACCTAAGGTTACCCCCACGACCGGTGTCGCAGAACAATTAAAAATAACTGCTTTGCAATGAAACCCAATGGAATTAGGTAGCGTTCCTCAAAAATGGATGAACCTTCCCCTGGTTTTCATGGCTTTTCACGGTCAATGTCAAAAAATCTAAATTTTGATTGAAAAACATAGGAATTTGGCAGATTTAATGACACATTCCCTGCCACCTGCATCAGTTGCATTTCTTTCGAGATTGTTGCGGCAAAACGGCGGGAACCGACATGAATGCCTACGAAATATGTTTAGATTGCAAAAAGAAACTGAAGAAATTGGACTAAGTTCGCGATTGCAGTGGAAAAAACCATGGTGATCCATGGTGGGAGCCCAGGGTTTTTGGTGGAGCTGAATTTTTAGGGATTGGATCTTCTAAAATTGATCTTCTAAAATCTTCTAAAAATAAAACATATTCTATGTACCTTTTTTTTCCAATGAGGGGGCAGGATTGAATTCCGGCATATTCTAAGTACGAGTAGTTCCTTATATATATACATTATAGATATGTATACATTGTATAACCCATTGAATGGGGATGACCATTCAGCAACCAACACAGATCGCAGATCGACCAATGGAGCCAAATCGGCTCCATTGGTCGACTGGACAAAGCATGGGACTTTGCTGACCAAGTGCAATGACAATGGGCCAATGGGAAATTCACCGGTAGTCAACCCAAAAAAAACTATGCAGATAGTCAGCAACGTCGATCATCAACCTCAATTTTAATGGGTACTCAACCAGCCAAGCAACTCCAGCGCCCAGAACCAGCGTCTGTACTCGCTCCATGGCATGAATCCCATGGCTGCAAGATGACGAAAAACCAAGGCCCAATAAAGACCAAAGCACTGCAATTTTTGGTGCCAACTAATTTTCAGTGTATATGTGTTTTTATGTGTATAGATATATATATATATGTATATATATATATATATGGATGTATCTATGTGAATGTAAGGAGCCTGAAACTCCAAGAGCAACTGTCCAAATCAAAAGACCACAAGGCTGCTTCACTTGCTAGCAGTTGTCGGTAGTCTACAACTCCAAAGTGCCACATGTGCCGTGGAACTCAAATGGTATACTTCGGTAAGATCACTCTGACCCTCAGAGATTTCTTCAGCAACTATAGATGGGGACGGTAAGTGCCGCGATCATGGGAAATCGACAGATACAAGTTGAACTTGTGTTTTGGCAACAGGCTGCATCTACTCTACTTCCGGAAATTGTTTTACATTCTATGTTTGCACATACTATATATATATATATGTATGTATATACTATATACATATATGTAATTATTATGTAAGATACATATCATGTACTAATATAAGACACAATATGCGTATCACTGTCATCAGCAGCAGCAAGCTGTCAAAGGTTGTTCATCCCCTAAAGATCGCCTGAAGCACTTCATCAGAAACACGGATGCCTTTCGTCTCTCGCCTGACGGTACTGAAGAGTCATTTCGGATTGAAAAATCACTGGGAAATACAAAATGAATGATTTATTCATTATGAATTTGACAAACATTTTTACTATCCTATAAAGTAAGGATTCTTCTGGATTTATGAATTTAATCCTTAGGTCCGTAGGTCCTTAGGTCCGTACTATCACTATTAGATATCCATAATATCCATTGTGATTAATAATTAACACCCATTTTTTTTAGTCAATGGGGATGTTATGGATTGTCTCAACAGGCCAGATGCACCCCCAATTGATGGCCATTAAAAAATGACCGTTTGTGATGCTGAATCATGAGATGGACGTGGGTGTCAAAGTTTGAAACAACCCCATTTGAGTCACTGGGAAACTGGTTCTGGATCTGTTCAGTGGAGGAGACTCTCTGACTTGTTCGAGTGTTCTTTTGCAAAATTTCGATTCTGGTGACAAACGCATGGGAATGCCAAAAGAAGAGCACCAACTCGCGTTACTGGGTCACCGGACTTTCACAGGTAATCGGATTTTGCTGTAGTTTTCCTGCAAACGCAACTTGAGGTCTCAAACGACAGGAAACTCAACAATGATCTTCTGTAGTATTTGTTCGAAACAAGAACACCGGACCTTCCTTGAAGCCATGCATGCAAAATTTCGTATCCTGTGAACCCTGCATGGAAATATCGATTTACGAACACATCATTTCGTATAGAATATAGAATTTAGTACTGGATATGGGTTGTCCATTCTCTTGAACAATGCAATTCTAATCAAAGAAAAAAAACGAAAGCATTGAGTTTTCACTAAGCTTGAGACGATATCGGAAATGCCACCCCGGACAGCACGGCGTGTGTTCGAGGAATTGTTTTCGCTGAACCCAAAAATCGCGGTTTGATTGCAGATTCAGAGAGGACAGCGCTCCTGGTTTGGCAAGATCCAAACATGTTTTCTTTCAAAAAGGAATCCGCCAAATTTAATAAGATTGCAAGGAACACGAAAGGTAGCTGGGGCCGTTTTGACCTATTGATTTTGCCTATATTGTTTATGTGTTTGTTTGCCCAAGCACTGTTGAACACACATTTGCCTGCAACGTGTTGCACTAGGCCGGCATGACAAAATGAAACGAACGTACATGAGTTAACCATTGATAGTTTTCAAAAACACAAATTTGGAAAAAACATCAGTAAACACTGACTCCGATTTTGTCCATGTTTTTCATTGTTTCTCATTGTCTCTCAGTGGCTCTCATTGTCTCTCATTGTGTCTCAGTCTCTCACTGCTCTCATGTTTGTCAACTGTTGTTTGAAAATTCTGGCATATTTTGGCCAAAAATTGGTTTCCGCGTTGCAATTTTGTGTGTTACTTCACAAAATACGAGTCGTACCCGGGTGAACCTGTAGAATCAAACGACGGAAAACAATTGCAACAAATTGCAAAAACCAATTGTGTTCGGTAAGCAAAAAACTTCCCAATTTCCGAGCTGATTTTTTGGATCGGCCAATTTATGGGTCGAAAGTGCATGGTTGTGGCGTGTCAATTTTCCGGTAAAACCAAAAACCATTACATTGGATATTGGGGCTTTATGGTCCCCTTTAAAATAATGTGTGTCGCACTTGCTGGTGCGCATATAAAAATAATCAATGATCCACTAGGACACCATAGGAGAGGTGAGTTGCTGCGATGCATGAATGGCAGAGCGAATCCACTGATGGACCGAAAGGTGGTTGGTGTTGTGTTTTTTGGAATGGCTGCAATGGTTGCAAAGGTCACCTCAGCCACAACGGGTGGATGTAGAGTGGTGTAGCGCAGTTGTAATTGTAGTTGTAGCTGTAGCTGTAGTTAGTGCAGTCTAGTGTAGTGCATAGTGCATACTGTATAGTGTACTGTATAGTGCATATAGTGTATAGTCTGTAGTGTGTAGTGTATAGTTTAGTGTATAGTATATAGTGTACAGTGTGTAGTGTGTAGTGTGCAGTGTGTAGTGTGTAGTGTAGTGTGTAGTGTGTAGTGTGCAGTGTATAGTGTGTAGTGTGTAGTGCGTAGCGTGTAGTGTGTGGTGTGTAGCGTGTGTGGTGTAGTGTAATGTAGTGTAATGTAGTGTAATGTAGCGTAATGTAGTGTAATGTAGTGTAGCTGTAATTGTAATGTAGCGTGGTGTAATTAGTGTAATGTAGTTGTAGTAGTAGTAGTAGTAGTAGTAGTAGTGCAACACCACCTGGCCTGCCGTCTATAGGTGGGCCAGAAAGTCACCATAATGAAGGAACAGTCTTCAGGCCTCTGGTTAGTGAAAGATACTGCAAACCGGTTAGATTCAGATTGTAATGAAAGTGGGAGGCGTTAGCGGCAGCTCAGCTAAGAGTCGTGTCTGAATATGAAGCGCTTCTTGATTGCAGCCCTTTCATGAAACTTGCAGCGGACCTTTTTGGGTCGAGGGCGATGCGCAAAGATCGCAGGCGGGTCGGGCGCGGAGGGTAACGCCAAGACTTTGCAAGGTTAAAAGCGATACCACCACGCCCTCCCACTTTGAGATGAAAAATCGGAGCAATTGTGCACAGTCTAAGTTGCCGTTTTCTGCTGCACAGTGGAAGGCTGTCCTGCCATCTGACCTTTTAGTGTTAGGATTTCTCTGCTTGCACAAAAAGATTTAAAAGAAGATGAAGTTATGCCGCCTGACCCTTTGGAGTCAGGAATTCTCGGTTGACACAAGAGCTTTTCAACTTCATCTGCATTGGTGTCGCTGCACGCTAGAGCTAGATTCTCGTCTTGCTTGCAAGATGGGTTCACATGAAAGTTCGCTCGAAACTCGCAGCTTTCAAAACAAGAAGGTGACATCACTTCGTGAGAAACCCTTCTTGATTGCAGCCCTTTCATGAAACTTGCAGTGGACCTTTTTGGGTCGAGGGCGATGCGCAAAGATCGCACCACCCCCTGTGAAATCTTTGCGGCTACTGGCTCAAACTTGATAAGATGGGGGCATCACCAGTGGAAAGTTCGAAAAGAAAATCATGATGCGCAGCGCTCAGAACCATGTTGATCAGAGAAGCATCGAATGGCACACTGCCGGCATACTGACCCTTAACAAGGTCCAAGAGATCCTTAGTCCTATTCCGCGTCGGCAAATCTGCAGGGTTTGAAGCTGAAGGAACACGTTCAATCCAATGAAAACATTCGTGTTCGCAATCACACTCGTGAAATGCAGAGGCTAACTGTTGCATGGAAGAACTGCCGCTGGTCGCTTTGATTATTGCGAAGCGCGCGGCTTCATTATCTGCAAAAAAGAGAACTTTCCTTCGGTGAAAAGAATGTTTCAAGCCAACGCGCATGCAAACTAAGACAAACAGCTCAGCCTGGGAGATCACCTGCTTGCTTCCAGCTTCCATCCACTTTGAAACAACTTCATGTGGGACAACACCATCAAAAACTAAAGGCGGCCCCCTCAAAGGATCAATGACCAATGCTCCCGCGGTCGCAACCCCACCTTCAAATGCACTGTCAGTGAAAACCACAATTGGGGGCCCCTCGTGAAAGCAGCTTATAGTCTTGGGCTTTGAACGTTCCAAAAGGCTGAGGAGCTTGTCGCAAGCCAGCTGTATTAGGTCGCCGCGCAATGGAGATGAAGAAGCAAATGCCAAGCCAATTTCACGCGCGGCAGGCTGCAGGAACCGGCCCAAACAAAATCCAGATGCAAAAGTCACGTGGCCGCGTACCACTGCCAAGTCTGCCGCGGCTTTGCTCTCTTTCAAATTTCTTGTCAGTTCTGCAATATGTTGCATGCGACCCGGCTTGTTCTGCACTGTGAAGAAACCTGTTGGCAATGAACTCAAATCAATGGTGGCACCCAGAATGTTGAAATGATCCGCAAAGGGAAGATTCTTTTCCCCTTCAGCAAAGCGCCAGCCGATCAGCTTCAGCAGCCCCTCAAACGCCAAACGCGATGATGAAGCCAATGATTCCGTCTCAAAATGTGGAAAGTCATCGAAATAATGACAACATGGAATTCCAAGGTACACGACAGCGAGGAACCAAATTGCCCGCGCGACGCGCAAAAAACCAAATACGCTTCCAACTGCTCCGAAAGGTATAGATGATGACAAATAAAATTTCCAGCCATCAGTGCTTGGAGCAGGGTATCCCACGACGGCGAGGTGCCGGGAGGAACATGCGATACACATCTGTTTACACGCTTTCGCCAGATCCAACGTTCGGGCGAGCCAACGTTGCCCTCGCATAGACGGGTGCAGCCCCGCTTCCAGCACTTCCCCAGTCGCTAACGCCATTGTGACTTGGCCGTCTTTCACACATGAACCCAGCAGCTTGGTAACAGCCACCACAAAATCAAAATCTTGAAGTTGAAGGCGCTCCACAGAAGTAAAAGAATTGTTCAACCCAGACTTCTT